AGGCGAAGAAGTAGTGGCGAGGAGAGTGGCTTGGTAGCCGGTCTAGAGACAGGTCTGTCTCCTGACCCACACGCAGCCGAGGGGGCTAGTAGTGACGCGGAGACCCTAATTGATGATGATGAGGCTGATCGCACTTGGCAGCCTCGTCGTCATCAGGCTATTGCTTCCGCATCATCAGGAGAAGAGGGTGCCAGCTTGCCAGCAAGCAAAACAGTCGGGTTTGCCCAGGAGGCAGCAGGGTTGCAGCAGTGTCAGTGGAGCCAAACGGCCACGGAGTAGAGCACCAGCTCCACTGCAGCCTACCACCACGGCCAGTAGTAGTGGTGCCGGTGTGCACGGAGGAAGTAGCAGTCAGCCAGTGAGGAGTAGCGGGGGCAAAGTTTCCTACTCGGCGGTGTGGCAATTTTTCGTCGTCAAGCCGCCCGAGGAAGTAAACGTAGCCGTATGTCGACTATGTGGCCAGAAAGTCAAGCGTGGCCAGGGGGCCCATGTTGGGACTACAGCGTTGCGTCAGCATATGCAGCGTCGCCATTTGGTGGCCTGGGAAAACCGTGATAAAGATACGGCGGTTCTGCCTGCCCCAGCCCCCGCTCCATCACCCGCTCCGTTACTTGCTCCGTCACCCGACGTCAATCGCCCTCTATCAGCCAGTCAAGGCTCCAACACCTCTGCTGAGGGGAGTTGTCGCTCGTTGGCATCTTCCGCTCGTTCAGATGCTCCTTCTCCTGCTACTCCTCTTCACGGATTCCGTCAGCAGTCTTTCTTGGAATCCGTTTCCAAGAGACAACAGTTTGCGAGCACGCACCCGACGGTGCAAAAGCTGAACGTCCTCCTGTCCAAGTTGCTGGTGCTGCAGTCCCTCCCTTTCCAAGTGGTGGACTCAGCACTTTCCGAGAAATGATGGCTTGTGCCGAGCCGCGGTGAAGAGTGCCAAGCCGGCATTTCTTCGCCAAAAAGGCAGTGCCAGCCCTGCATTCACATGTAGAAGAGATGGTGGGCCAGTCTTTGAGCATGTCGGTCTCTGCCAAAGTGCACGGCAGCGCCGACGTGTGGAGCTGTAACTACGGTCAGGGACAGTACATGTCATTTACGGCCCACTGGGTGAACGTGGTGCCGGCACAGCCGCACCAGCAACTTGGACAGGTCACGCCGCTTTTGCCTCCACGTTTGCACGTCCTTGGTCCAGCAAAGATGTCCGCCTCTACCACCTCTTCCTCCGCCGTGTCCTCAGCCGCCGCCACCCCGTGCCAAGTCCCATTACCCGACCGGCATATCACATGTGCAAGGCGCAACGGTGTCACGCTGTGCTGCACCTGGTATGCCTTGGCGAACGTAGTCACACAGGGGAGGAACTTCTGAGTGTAATGAACAGAGAAAATCGACAGATGGCTGTCTCCGCGCAAACTGAAAATCGGAAACCATGTTGACCGACAACGGAAAGAACATGGTGTCTGCTCTGCGTCAAGGAAGGTTGTGCCATGCGCCATGCATGGCTCACGTGTTCAATCTGGTTGTCAAGCGGTTCCTAAAATCCACACCATCCCACTGCAAGACATCCTTAAAATGTCACGTAAACTTTGCATGCATTTCAGCCATTCCTACACCGCAAAGCACACCCTCCTTGAGCTGCAGCGGCAGAACGGAATTCCACAGCATCGCCTGATCTGCAACGTTGCAACAAGGTGGAATTCAACCCTACATATGTTAGACCGCCTTTACGAACAGCGAAAGGCCATCACCGATTTCCTGATGTTACAAGCGGATAAAGGTACTCCCCTGTGTAACTTAGATGTCAGCCATTGGCAGCTCATGCGTGACACCTGCCGCTTGCTTAGGCCCTTTGAGGAGGCCACGCTATTCGTGAGTTGGCAGGACTATGGGATGAACGACGTCATTCCTCTGTTGCACGTCCTGGAACAAATGCTGTTAACAATGGCTGGTCAGGGTGCGGTAGACGTGGCGCACAGATCTCAACGCCACATGACCCCTGTGGGGGCAGGACAGGAGGAGGGGAGGAGGTAGAGGAGGACATTGGTGCTCAGGAATTATTGAGTGAAATGGGTGGTTTTTCCACTCAGCGGACAGGAGTGGAGGAGCAGGAGCATCTGGTAGAGGAGGAGGAGGAGGAGACAGAGGACCCAGACGCACCGTGGCAGTATGCTGTGGAGATGGAGGCAGGGAGTCCCTCGCATTCCTTGGCACAAATGGCCCATAGCATGCTCGGTTGCTTGCGTAGCGACAGCCGAATAATAACCATCAGACAGAGGGATGACTTTTGGCTGTCCACCTTGTTGGACCCTCGCTACCGTTCAAAAATGGTGGCCTTTTTCACACCTGCTGAGAGGGAGGCCAAAATAAAGTACTATAAAAACCACCTATGTAGTCAGTTGGTTTCTGCCTTTCTGCGCCAACGTCCATCCTCAGACACTGTGGGCCCTGTGCGCTCGCGTTCCGCTGCCATGGCAGCAGGGGAGGGGTGGGGGGTGGTAGGAGCAGTGGCAGCTCCACCAGCAGCGGCTGCCTCAGTCTGCAGTCGATGATGAGTAGCTTTCTTCACCAGCGCAGTGAGGAAAACTACTAACCAGCCGCAGCAGCAGCAGCATCAGGTGGACCTGGAGCAGGACCTCAAACAACAGGCTCGGGCCTACTTGGACAGCACCCTGCCAACCGAGGTAGACAATCCCCTTGACTACTGGGCAACGAAACTTGACCTTTGGCCCCAACTAGCTGAATTTGCCCTTGAAAGGCTGTCATGCCCGCACCAGTAGCGTGGCATCGGAGCGCGTGTTTTAGTGCGGCAGGAGGTATTGTAACTCTGCGGAGGACACGACTGTCCACCCAAAGTGTGGAGAGACTCACGTTTTGTGAAAATGAATCAGGCGTGGATTAGTCTGGATTTCAAACCACCAGTTCCTGACACAACTGACTAAATCCGCCATGAATCATGCCCCAAACATGTTATTATTTTTAACATAGGCCTCTGTATGGCCTTCAATTGAAGCTGCTTCTGCTCCGCCACTCTGCCATTGGACTCTTGATAGTCGACGACTATCAAGAGTCCAATGGCAGAGTGGCGGAGCAGAAGCAGCTTCAATTGAAGGCCATACACAGGCCTAGGTTTAAAAGTCCCTCACAGTTAATTCCAATAACGAACTCTACTCCTCCGTGCAATCTACTTATGAGACCCTGGGCAGGTCTGGGTCCAATTTGTGGTAGAGACTGGTTTTGTTCAGCCATGCTTGAGCGAGTAATAACAGGTCTGTGCTGCCCTTTGGTGTCTGGCTTAATGCGCACAACACTGAACGTCCCAGCGTTTGTCAACGATTTGCCGTTAAGTGATGCAAACCCGCTGAACCCACGTTCATGAGGAGCCAGTACAGGGGGCCATGAATCAGTATGGACCTGGCAGCAGCGTGAGCAGACGACAGAGGCACGTGGCGCAGGGTGGCGGTGTAGGCAGCATTATTCTGAAGCCATACACAGGCCTAGGTTAAAAAGCGGAAGCCGTCAGCAGCGTGAGCAGACGACAGAGGCACATGGCGCAGGGTGGCGGTGGATGCAGCAGTATTCGGAAGCCAAACACAGGCCTCGGTTAAAAAGCGGAGGAAGCCGTCAGCAGCGTGAGCAGACGACAGAGGCACATGGCGCAGGGTGGCGGTGGAGGCAGCAGCAATGGAAGGCCATACAGCACCCTATCACAAAATGGAACCCACCAACAGTGTAAGGAGACCTGAAAGTGGCACATGGGCAGAGTCTGGCGATGATGAAGTCAGCAGCAATGGGAGGCCGTACAGGGACCCATGACACACTCTGGACCTGGCAGCAGCAAGAGGAGGCGATACAGGGGCCCATGGCAGAGTGGCGAAGCGTAAGCAGCTTAAATTGAAGGCCATACAGAGGCCTATGTTAAAAAGTCCCCCAGCAGGCAGCGTGGGGAGACGACTAATTTAGTCGTCTCCCCACGCTGCTGCTGGGGGGACTTTTTAACATAGGCCTCTGTATGGCCTTCAATTTTAGCTGCTTATGCTCCGCCACTCTGCCATGGGCCCCTGTACCGCCTCCTCATGCTGCTGCCAGGCCCGTAATCTGCCATGGGCCCCCGTACCGACTCCTCATGCTGCTGCCAGGCCCGTAATCTGTCATGGGCCCCTGTACCGCCTCCTCATGCTGCTGCCAGGTCCAGAGTGTGTCATGGGTCCCTGTACGGCCTCCCATTGCTGCTGTCTCCATCGCCACACTCTGCCATGTGCACTTTCAGGTCTCCTCACACTGCTGGTGGGTTCCATTTTTGTCATAGGGTGCTGTATGGCCTCCCATTGCTGCTGCCAGGCCCGTAATCTGCCATGGGCCCCGTACCGACTCCTCATGCTGCTGCCAGGACCATAATCTGTCATGGGCCCCTGTACCGCCTCCTCATGCTGCTGCCAGGTCCAGAGAGTGTGTCATGGGTCCCTGTACGGCCTCCCATTGCTGCTGTCTCCATCGCCACACTCTGCCATCTGCCACTTTCAGGTCTCCTCACACTGCTGGTGGGTTCCATTTTGTCATAGGGTGCTGTATGGCTCCCATTGCTGCTGCCAGGCCCGTAATCTGCCATGGGCCCCCGTACCGACTCCTCATGCTGCTGCCAGGCCCGTAATCTGTCATGGGCCCCTGTACCGCCTCCTCATGCTGCTGCCAGGTCCAGAGTGTGTCATGGGTCCCTGTACGGCCTCCCATTGCTGCTGTCTCCATTGCCACACTCTGCCATGTGCCACTTTCAGGTCTCCTCACACTGCTGGTGGGTTCCATTTTGTCATAGGGTGCTGTATGGCCTCCCATTGCTGCTGCCAGGCCCGTAATCTGCCATGGGCCCCGTACCGACTCCTCATGCTGCTGCCAGGCCCGTAATCTGTCATGGGCCCCTGTACCGCCTTCTCATGCTGCTGCCAGGTCCAGAGTGTGTCATGGGTCCCTGTACGGCCTCCCATTGCTGCTGTCTCCATCGCCACCACTCTGCCATGTGCCACTTTCAGGTCTCCTCACACTGCTGGTGGGTTCCATTTTGTCATAGGGTGCTGTATGGCCTACCATTGCTGCTGCCAGGCCCGTAATCTGCCATGGGCCCCCGTACCGACTCCTCATGCTGCTGCCAGGCCCGTAATCTGTCATGGGCCCCTGTTACCGCTCTCCTCATGCTGCTGCCAGGTCCAGAGTGTTGTCATGGGTCCCTGTACGGCCTCCCATTGCTGCTGTCTCCATCGCCACACTCTGCCAAGTGCCACTTTCAGGTCTCCTCACACTGCTGGTGGGTTCCATTTTGTCATAGGGTGCTGTATGGCCTCCCATTGCTGCTGCCAGGCCCGTAATCTGCCATGGGCCCCCGTACCGACTCCTCATGCTGCTGGCCAGGCCCGTAATCTGTCATGGGCCCCTGTACCACCTCCTCATGCTGCTGCCAGGTCCAGAGTGTGTCATGGGTCCCTGTACGGCCTCCCATTGCTGCTGTCTCCATCGCCACACTCTGCCATGTGCCACTTTCAGGTCTCCTCACACTGCTGGTGGGTTCCATTTTGTCATAGGCTGCTGTATGGCCTCCCATTGCTGCTGTCAGGCCCGTAATCTGCCATGGGCCCCCGTACCGACTTCCTCATGCTGCTGCCAGGCCCGTAATCTGTCATGGGCCCCTGTACCGCCTCCTCATGCTGCTGCCAGGTCCAGAGTGTGTCATGGGTCCCTGTACGGCCTCCCATTGCTGCTGTCTCCATCGCCACACTCTGCCATGTGCCACTTTCAGGTCTCCTCACACTGCTGGTGGGTTCCATTTTGTCATTAGGGTGCTGTATGGCCTCCCATTGCTGCTGCCTCCACTCAGCATGCTGACTGAGTAGCTATTTGTCTCTGTAATTAAATGTTTATAGTAAGAGGCCATTGCACCATTTGGTTTGGGGCATTTTTTGGATTTAAAGATCTTGATATCAGCTTGTATTTCCAGAGAGGTTATTGGTAATTCAAGAACATGGTATAGCATTTCTGGAATAGTCAGGAGGTGGGGCTCTAAAAAAGAAATTTGGCCACTGAATTCTCACTAAAATGTGTAAGTTAATTTGGTGCATCCTTTTGTGGAGCTCAGCCAACATTTACGTTGGGTTTCATTTATGGCCTAATCCCACTATATTGCGGTGGATGAGTTTAATTAGTGGGTCTGATCTGTGGGTATGCTCTGTGTTGTCTATTCACTTGAAGAGCATTGAGTTTGTTACCCACAAAACTTATTCTTGTTTTTTGGTGATGTCAGTGAGACATAAGTTCAGATGCGTTTATGTATATTCAAATTGTTTCTTCAAGTGAGGAGTGGAATTAGTTTTTGAGTTGAGTAGGTAGTGAGTTGTAAGTTGCTTCCAACTCTTTCATTAATTTGAGTCACTTTTTCTTCTTTTGGGAAGCCAGTGACTACTTTATAAATGTTCCATGGGCAAGCAGAGGAGCTCACACATTGTGTGTTTCAGGTGAAATATACTTTTACAGAATTCTGTAGTTGATGACAAATGGTCAGGTCACTGGTAAGATATTTGTTGAGAGATGAGCGGCTCTCATCTGATTTATGTGTAAGAGAATGAAAGAAGAATATGGCTGTGTTGCGGTCCTATCAAGAGAGTTGGTAGGATATTCCGTCTTTGAATTTTTTCTTGGCTGTATTAGTAAAATTATCTGTGAATTTCCCAATTTATTGCAGTTAGATAAAGAAGAATCAGAAGTTCTTCCTGTTGGAAGTAAAGTACCAATGAATATTAAAATTGATTTTTTTTAAAACATTTTTTCTTTTAAAGATTGGGATGTAAAATAATTAAAGTGGATCTATTCTAAGTAAAAATTTTGCTATATTACAGGTAACATTTAGAAATGTTAATTACCAAGTAATACCCTGAAAAATGTACTTTTATTTTCCCCCTACAAAACAACAGCACACTTTCTGGTATGTAAGTGTGCCTACACACTCCTATGCCTACAGCATAATAGCTGTATACCTGCTGCGAGAGAGCTAAGGCACTGTTGCCACAGACTGCTAGTCTCAGGAGATCTGGATTGAGATGTGATGTCACTACTGTCCTGCCTTAGTGCAAGAGGAGATGAGCAAGATAACTTTTGCCTCTACCAAGATAGCCGACTCCACATAGAGACACACAACAGAATGGGGCATGGTAAATGGTAATAGGGAAAACATACAAATAGGATCAGCTGTAAGGAATACCACAGGAAATCTTTGTGAATAGTCCTTTGCCCTCTGCCTGCCTCTTTTTGGGTACAGCTTACAGAATTTTGTTCTTCTTTAAAGGTAATTTTAATGGCAACTTCAGCTTTAAGACTTAAATCATGTGTGTATGTAAAACCATTTATTATCATTTACACAGTATTTCAGAGATTCATAATATTCTCTCTGTTACTGCTAGAAATTGATACATGCTTTTATGTATCATCTAGAATGGATTATTGCTTTGCGTTTTACTTAGAAATAATTGAGATAATTATTTGTATTTTTGTTATTGTACAGCACTGTGTAAACATTTTGTTTAAAAATGCTTTAGAAATTAAAATAACAATTTATTACTATCATTATCATCATACATGCGCAGTCCATGTAATGGCACTCTCCTCCCCAGCTGCTCATTGGACAACAAACAATCAGTGGCACAATTATGAGTTTATTAATGTCTCCTGTAAGCATTTCCCTAGTGCTAGACTGACAGCAATTTTAAGTGCTGTAAACTGGCTCACTTTGGTGACCCTACATCTCCCACTGTTAGTGCTGCTGTGCAGGCGATTTACAGGAAAGATAGATTCGGTAACTTTTATTAGCTGTATATAAAAACAAATGTTATTTTATTAACCAGCCTCGAGTTTAGATTTAAATATATTACTATCGACCAAATTACCACATTGCTATAAAGTGTGCATTCCTATTTACAATATATGTTTCCTTTAGATTGTAAGCTCCACGAGCAGGGCCCTACTATTCCTTTGTACTGAAATGTATTGTAATTGTACTGTCTCCCTTATATTGTAAATCAAACTGTTGGCGCTATATAAATCCTGTATAATAATATTATGTTGGAAATGATCAGTCCACAGTTTCATGCCTGTGCACAACAGACATGGGAAGTGACTACGCAGTGACATAGAGCTCAATTTCACAACCACAGACAGGAGAAATAAAACATGGGAAATGGGAAATTAATATTATTTTTTATTTTTTGCATAAATTGGTGAATGTGAATGGGACAGCTATCAGTTGTTGCTCATCAACTTGAACCAAGTCAGGTGACTTGTATTTAAAAACTAATACTACGGTTTGCTTTCAGATCTCTGTTGCAGATATTTAGTTATAGTTTTTAATCACACAGAATTCCCTGTGACTTCCCTGCATGTTAGTGTTTACAAGCTGTTCTTCCCCCATTGAATAAATGGCTTATCACACACTGGGAGATCGGCATCCTTCCCACAGAGTATGTAATGTTCTGTGCTGCAACATCAAATATTTCTTTTAATCTCTTCTAAGGTATGTCTCTTTTTTTGTGCATTTCCAGATTCCCTCTGTGTACCAGGATTTGATCCAAGTCTGAGCATGATGACTGGGATAACACCAATTAATCCTTTGATGGCTAGTATGGGCCTGTTACCACCTCCACCTGCACAGCTGCCGATTGTCAAAGAAATTATCCACTGTAAAAGCTGCACTCTCTTTCCTCCTAACCCCAGTGAGTATCAGAATGGATTTGTGCCTAAATCCAATAAGCATTTACAGTGCAATGACCATTGATGAGTAGGGTGAATAGATTGGTAACGTAACAGAATTTTACTGTCATGGTTCTAGTTTTGTGAACTTTATGTGCTGCTTACATACACCTGAATACATGTACAGGCTTACAAATGACTTTATGCATTGGTGTTCAGTCCAGTAAGGTATTGGACTAATGGTGCATGTGGCCGATGTGGGACCCTACATAAAAATTACCTGAAAGCAGGTGGTATTGTTGCAGGACCACTTTCGTGTGTATAGGCAAAGTATCATTTGATAATGAATATATACTTCTAACACTGTAGGCTTTGTGATTTACCTACACAGTCTACATGTTTTCTGTGTATCACACCTATACAGATTCAAGCAGTACACAGACCATTAGTAGGGGAGACACAGGTTATAAATTTCTGTTTCACCTTTTGTAAATCTTGTGTAATTCACTCTGAGCTATCACATTGCTCAATAGATGTATCTTTGTTAAAGCGGAACTTCACCCAAAAGAGCACTTGTTTGTATCCCCCCCCCCCCCCCCACTGCCACATTTGTCACTTTTTTGTGGGGGGGGGGGGAGGGAGTACCTGGTTTTGACAGGTACCTGCTCCCACTTACGGTCAGATGCAACGTGCGATCTGAGCCTGAAGTTCGGCTCCTCCTCCTTTCCCCGCAGCCTTTTGACACACACAGGTCCCTGAAGGCTGCAGGACCATTCACAAAGCGCAGCGTGGCTTGCACATGTGCAGTGTGTAGGAAACTGGCTGTTAAGTGGCAAGGCGTTACTGCCGGTTTGCCTTACTTAAGATGCCGTCACCTGCCCCTGAAGCCGATCGAAGAATTGGCTTGGGTGAGGACATTGCTGGATCTCTGGACAGGGAAGTATTTGTAGCTGCTGACTTTTAATTTTTTTTGGAGGGGAGCCTGGAGCTCCGCTTTAATAAATCAGCTGAATAAATTGTGTGCACATTTCAGAGCTGTACAAAATTATAGAACTTTAATATTTTACATGGTGTATCATTTTTTTAAACTAAGTATCTTCATTAAGTATCTGATTAAAGTTGATGTACAAGGCAAAAGAAATAGCATTTACCACAACGTGTTTGTCCTAAAACAGATAACTTGTAACTGTTGCTATAAAGGCACCTCTGTAGGATGTGTATATAGCCTCTGCTGTAGGTTGTGGGGAAGAGGTCCTTGTTCCTAAAGAGCATCCTCTTCCAAGGTACCCTGCCATTTTTGACAGGTTGTTGGCCTGGTATAGTCCTGGAAAAAAAAAGAGGGGGGGGGGATTTGCCTGCAGGCTGCACCTCTTTTTTCTACTCACCCTGGCTACATGCTTGGATGTAGGTCTGGTTGAAATTTTAGGAAGAACCCTACACTGTTTTCTTTTTTTTATATGTGTACTGGCCCTTTAAAAGGAAAATGAGAAAGTGGTGTGGAGTTCAATTCAGGCCCTTATCTAGACCAGACCCTTATCTAGGCATGCAGCATGTAGTCCCCCTTCCTGTACCACACCAGGCCACATGCCTTTCAACATTGGAGGGGCACCTTGCAAGGAAAAGCAACAAATATTACCTCTAGTAATAATTATGTAGATGGGACCTTTCATGTTTGTGTGATCTTTCATTATAATATTCAATAAGGGGTTTGCAAGTCCCCATAGATATGGAAGGTTTGATGCCATTGTAAAGGTGGAAATATAAGACATATGTTCGTTTATTCTGCATACCTAAAAGTATCTTTACGTTCTCATTTAATTCTAATGAGTGAGTTACTTCCCTGGCTCAGGTGCTGCATAAAGGTACCCACAGACATGAGATACTCATCAATACTT